GAGTTTAAATACTCCAAAATATAGCTCAGATTTTCCTGAGATTGTTAGATACTTATCTAGTACAAGCACTGAGTGTCCCATGTTAGTCACATGGTGTCACTTTCATGAGTCTTATACTAGTCTTTTTTTACATGGCTGTATAAATAACCATGTAAGAACTTGTGTAATTGAAGAAATGTGCAAATGTCAGGAAAAAAATGGCTAATTGCTCCCAGAGAACATCAGTGTAACACAAAGGTGTTTTACAATCCATGTTTTACCCCTCAGAGTAAGAAGAGGGGCCATAAAACTCCTTTGTCACTGGCTTGTCCTTCAGTCAATGTTTATTGCTGAAAAGAGCATGGACTGAAATGCCTTTGTATTTCTTGACACATTTCCTGAATGTTATATCTCATATAGATTATATATACAGATAGATAGATATAGATATAGATTATATAGATATAGATTAGATATAGATATAGATAGATGATATAGATGATATAGATATAGATGATATAGATAGGTATAGATTAGATATAGATAAGATGATATAGATATAGATATAGATATAGATACAGATACAGATACAGATACAGATACAGATACAGATATAGATATAGATATAGATATAGATATAGATATAGATATAGATAGATATAGATATAGATAGATATAGATAGATATAGATGATATAGATACAGAGAGATTGGTATTCTCTAATCACAGTATAATGAGTTGGGAAAAATATAATGATTTCAATCTGAGGTATGAGGTATTCAGTAAGCTATTTAAGATGGTAAGGCATGCATTGAACAGAAAAAAATTGGATGTCTCGTGCTAACAACAATTTGGAATATCGTGGTGATGGAAGGAATAAATAAGGCTTTGACAGAAACTTAATTTTTGCTTTATTTCAGTAATATAAATAGTTATAATCTCAAAATGCCAGCATGTTAAAATAAATTTGATATATTTATAAACTATATTGTGAAATAGGTGCTTAGAGGCGGGGTTTAAATATTTTGGCTCTGCGAAGTGGCTTAAAAAAGCCACATATGTCAGGTAGGGTATCATAAATTTACACCTTGACCATATAACTCCATATGCATTGTTTTAGGTGTACAAACTGTTGAATTTGCATTATTGCCTTGATCTTTTTTCAGTCTTTTCCAATTTAGAGTCAGCTCCAAATCAACATCTGGTTTTCCTTCTGATATTTCATATTAATGACACATTTTGTAATTTTTGTATGAACTGTGTGAGGTCTTATTGCACAAACATTGCATTATTATCTTACTGTAGAAAGCTTGGCATAAAGCAATGGATAGATTCAAATTTTGCATTCAAGTGTTAAAGAAAAAGCCAGCTTCTAGATAGTAAGTTAAAATAGACTGCTGCTCTAAAAAACATTTTATATGCTCTGTTTGTTTCAATAAACTAGAGAAAAGGACTAGCCGTCACATTTGATTTCTTATTAACCGAATGCATAAGCTCTGAATAATATGTAGATCCCATAAAATACAATAATTAACTTCTTTGCATATGACAGTTTTATAAAATGTTTATTTATATCATAAAAATTGGATAACCATTCTAGCAGGGACTGTCATAAATGTGCTCACCAAAATGTAAAATGCAATTTTACAAATGTAAAAGGGCAATCTAAGAGAAAGATGGTAAACAAGGAACCTACTGAGACTGGAGAAGAAGATTGATTTGACAGTCAAAAGATGCGTAATTACATGAAGTGAGTGACATACAGTTGCCATTTTGATAGTAGATATCAAAATTATACCATATGCCCCAGGAAGAAAAATTTTAAAAATTAAAATTGCCATGATATTAGCAAGAAAAGAGGTAATGTAAAAATCATCAGACAAATATTAAACAGGGAGAAAAAGTTTGAAAACCTAGAAAATAAATATAAGACTTCTGGAAAACATAACTCAGGCATGTGAAAAATTACTGAGGAAAAAAATTGAAAAATAGATAGCAGATATGATAGTGAGGGGAAATGAAATCACCAAATTAATGATGCAAATGATTCAGCCTACAAAGTTAATATTAAAATTGACAGAGACATCAAAACCTTCATAACTAGCAAAGCAAATGATCATTGCCATCAAAAGGAACATGACAGTATGCTTACACTTGTGATTAAAGCATAAAATGGGTGGGTTTTCCAAGGGATTCTGAAAAGATCAGGATAGTCTTCCCATTACTTCCCAAATCTATTTCTCTGCAAAGAATGATGCTTTACAAAGGTAACTGCAAATTCTACTCAGAAGTTGAATTAACCTCCTATCAAAAAGTGTAACAAATTTCGAAAGGTGACCAAAATACGACTATATACACCATTTCTGAAACAATGCTTGAAAGGAAGAGAAAGTGAGAACTACAGTGGTTCTAAATGTCTCACCACTGAAGTAAAATACTTGTCAAACTGCAATTGCTATCACAGCAGAGCTTTGCTGACAGATCATTGTCTGCAGTGGAAGAATCCAAAGATAAGAAATAAAAATTAAAAGTATGAAGTTTCAAAATGGGAAGATGATGTATTTTGAATCATATAGAAAGTTTGGGAGTAAATTGCTAGTCATCATTAACTGTACTTTGATGTTTAATGCTACTCACCAGAACATTTTATAGCAGGATAGTGGGCAACTAGAGGAGGAAGTACAGATCTTTCTTTTATTAATATAAACAGCAGCAGAGTGCTCACATGCTGTATGTGTTATTCCATGAATGGCACATAAATGTTTTCCACACAAATTGTACCCTGCCTTGAAATAGCAATAGAAGACAAGTAGTAATGACAAGTTCACTCTTGGTGCTGAGACCAGTGTTAGACTGACTCACAGAAGCAGAGAATCTATGGGATTTGGGGTGACAATAAAAGGTGAAAGATTTGTGGACAGTGTATCTCCTCCCTCAGTTGCTATATGTAAAATCCTAAAAAGAATGAAGACTGGCTATCTTCAATGACCAAGCATGAAAGGTTTCAAATTTCTAAAAAATAAACAAACAAAACCCCAAGTATTTATATTAGAGAAGCTAAACCAAAACAGATGCTGAAGCAAAGTTCGCAGGAAGTATTAGATCGTATGAATGAAAATTATTGATAAACCTGAAATAAAGTTAACAAGCTATTAGCAAATAAATCAAGTCAGTTTAATTATATGAATGACATCTACCACTGTGTCATGATGGAACTACTAAAATGTAATAGTGTCCTGAATGGGAGAAACAACAGAAAATAGATGTTTGCTTAAGTCTGAAGTTTTTAAAATACGGCAATAAGAACTGAAGTACAAATACATAACTTCATCAAACACTGAGAATTACACAAAAGAATAGCAAAATAACTTTTTTTTTGCCTAGTGCTGGTGACAAATTTGGAGCAATGACATTCACTGGTGAGAAAACAGAATGCTGAGGAGAGAGCTGGTTCCATTTATTCCAGTCACAAATGAGCCACCGAGGATAACAGAGAAAAGCATAAACTAATGATGGGAAAGACCAACTAAATTATGACAGTATGTCTTTAGCAAAATTTTAACAGTATTAATGATTATTTCACAAACGCAGAAGAATGCTGGATGGGATGACTTTTCGGGGTTATCATTCTAGGCCTCAGGATTCAGGAAGGAAAAAAAAAAAATTGAGGCCCACTTCAGTACCACAGAATTGTTCAATCCCTGATCTCATAAGATAAGGCTATGTCCCCCTCAAGGCTGAGTTTCCTTCAGAAGTAGGTGCAGTTTTGGCAACCATAATAGAAAAAATATATTAAGTCATTACAGAGTGTCTAAATGAGGCTCACAAGGATGGTGAAGGACCTAGAGGGGAAGCTGTATGAGGAGCAGCTGAGGGCACTTGGTCTGTTCAGCCTGGAGGAGACTGAGGGGTGACCTTAACTGAAATCTTCAACATCTTCACAAGCAGAAGGGAGGGGCAAACACTGATCCCTTCACTCTCCTGACCAGGGACAGGACTCAAGAAAATGGCAGGAAGCTGAGCCAGGGCGGTTTAGGTTGGATGTTTAAAAATGCTTTTCCCCCAGAGGGTAGGTGGGTAGAGGCTCCAAGCGAAGTGCTTACAACACCAAGCCTGACAGAATTCAAGGAGCATTTGGACAAAGCTGTCAGTCTCATGGTGTGACTCTTGGGATGTCCTGCACAGGGCCAGGATTTGGACTTGATGATCCTGATGGTTCCCTTCTAACTCAGCATATTCTGTGATTTTATAATTCTGTGATTCATCTTAACATAGTTTGCTTTATAATGTGGAATGGAAATTGCTGAAGCATGAAAACTGATATTTAATTCCTTTACTGTAAATTGTTCTTGCCTGCAAATCATCTACAAAGGAATCACGAAGCAGAAACATGAAAAGAGGATAAGTCTTTCTTCCAAATGGTAATTTTATAAGACAAAGAAACAGACAAAGAAAAATAGGAAGATAGGAAAAAAATAGCAGTACACCTAGCTGTTCATTAAATACTGGTTTATACTGGTCTTCTCTCAAGGACCTGTGTGTACTTGGTAACTAATGCAGAAGGACTGGGAGGTCCAGTTTATGTGTCTAAGAAATTTAAGCTTGGGGGAAATATAGTCTGTGATGTGGGTGCCATATTGTAGAAAATAATGTAGCAGGAACAATTTGAACAGATGCAGAGTGAGGTTTCAAGGAACTGGGCAAGTGAACTGAAGCCAAGCTGGGGTTTGCACCCAACACTTGAATGTGCTGCTTCTTCTGTGCTGATCACCTGCGTTGACAGATGGGGTTCAAGCCTTATAAACATCTAGGGGAGTGGTGGAAGCTCATGGAATGGGAGAATAGTATCTATCTGCTAAGGGACAGGGGATAGTAGTTGATGAGAAGTTATTTATCTGTACAGAGACAGTGTAGTGTGAATGCTGGTAAGAAGGTACTCTGTTTCTGAGGCATGTAAAATATGAAGTGTCCCATTGCATGTTCCTCATGCCCTACACACACTGGTCTCCAGAAAGGACTACTTCCCTGACCAGGAACCAAACCGGGCCACAGCAATGAGAGTGCCAAATCCTAACAACTAGACCACTAGGGAATACAGATTTTAATTAAAATAAATTACATTAGAATATTTTAGATTAGATTAGAATAGACTACTCATTTATCAGTCTCTCAGGGAGTGATTGATTAAAATTAACTATCTAAATTTTGTCTAATTTAAGGATTTTAGTTCCCTTAATAGTCCTAGGAGAAAGGGAATTGTTCTCACACTTCCAAAATACATATCTTCATATGATATGAGTTGCTCACCTGATTTACCTGCTTCTCTACCAATAACTGTAACCAGGTAGGTAACCAGGTTAAACTAGCTGTCTTATATTTAAATGTCCAGAGGTATATTAAATTTTTCTTACTCTTGGGGTTGATTTAATTAATTTTAAGATAGGCATCTAATGGGTGTATGCATCACTCCCATCAGACAAGGGTGTGCTGGAGGTGCCTGGGGAAATCCTTCAGAATTCTGGGAGGCTAAATCCTCCTGAATACCTATCTTTAGGCAACTAAATTCCATAATAATGGAAAAATAGGTCTTAGCTCACACAACTGGAGTGCTGCTATGGATGGCTATAAACTCTTCAAAAGAGGTAGCAAGGAAAGAGGGATTTTGGGAGAGAATTAGGGATTGTTTCGATCATCTAGAGCTTAATGATATTGAAGAATAGAGTTGAGTGTTTATGGATAAGAATCAAGGCCAACAAAGCAGGTCCTGCTTGACCAGGAGGTGAAGGAGGTTGCAGTGAGACAGGGGTCAGTCTCTTCTCCCACGTAACAAGTGACAGGATGAGAGGAAATGGACTCAAATTGCACCAGCAGGGTTTCAGTTAGATACTAGGAAATATTTCTTCATTCAAGGGTGGCCAAGCCTACCCAGAGAAATGGTTGAGTCTTGGTCCCTGGAAGTGTTCAAAAATGTGTTGATTTGGCATTAGGGACATGGCTAAATGGTGAACATGGTGGTGATGCTGGATTGACAGTTGGACTGGGTGACCTTAAAGATGTTTCCCAAACTTAACTTGGCTCTATGTGGCACTTGGGGACATGGTTTGGTGGTAGATGTGGCAGTGAAAGGTAAACTATTGTACTCAGTGATCTTATAGACCTTTTTCCAATCAAAATTGTTCTATGATATCTTTATTTCATAAAGTTAACAGGTTTTAATTTCATCTATAGCTTTTCTATATTTGTTTGTCATTAGCAAAGCCAAACCCAGTTGAAATTAAGACCCAGTGTATCTGAGGCATTCAGACGTATTTCAGTGGAAGCTGAATCAAGCTCTCTATTGAGATTTTCTGTGACATCAGTCCAGCCCTTCAGACTGAATTGGTATGGATCTAAAGGAGCTATCTTTTTTGGAATGTTTCAACTCTCATAACTCAAGTGCTAAGCTTATAAAAGGAATCTTTTCAATCTCCCTGTGCCTTTACAAATACATCTGTATTTGCAATATATATTCGAGACAAATCGGAAGCCATGTGGAACTCTTGATTCTCTTTCTATCTACATTTGTGACAAGGAATGGTTAAAAACATTATTCACTTCCCTTTTGAATTTTTAGAACTATTATGGGAGTGATGACTGTAACAAATAGATAACCAATATTTTCCCTCCCTCTCATCAGTCAACATGCTCTTTTCCAGAATGAGTTTTACAGTCATTGAATATATTTTCTCAAATGCAGCAATTTGTTTATTTCTCACATGCTGATTAAAGAAAATTATAAACATTTTACAAGTAACACTCCCCTTCAGATTTGTTTGTGATGTATTTGAGTAATTTAGTCTTAGTTTAATAAATGTGCAACCATTAGTATATTGCAAAGGTCACCAATCTGTCATTCATGCACTAAGTGATTTAAACAATTTCTCTCTCTTTTACATTATGACATAGATGAAAACTTCTTTTTGACTTGAGAAACTGCTTCTGAATACATCAGTTGCTCATTCATCTGTTTGTTTTTTTTTTTCATTTTAATTCTACTGTGCTTTGTGTTGCAAGAGGGAAAAAAAGCTGAAAAGGATTACAGGCCAAATTCAAGCTATATAAATAATTGATCTACAAAGAATTTAAACTAGTTTCATTTGGAAAAATGCTCCATTGCATCTTTTGTATAAAACCACAGGCATACTTCCAAGATATGCACAGAAATACATGTAGTTCATTAAAAGTATTTTTTTTCTCAACTAGCATGAGAATTTAAATTAGTATAGTTATTTGGTTTTAATCCTTCAATTCTAAATATGTAACTACTAATCAGAATAATTTTCATGAAAGGATAGTTAGGCATATTGGAATGAATCAATTTTACAAGTATAACAAAAGAACATATAGTTTACAGCTGGAAATATACTGTGAGGAGCTCAATAGGTAATAATGTTGCACTGCTCTGGGGAGGCAACATGGTGCTAAATGGCTTTTTCACTGTTATTTTTCTTGGACAAAAGAAGGCTGAAACAAACTGAGCTATTTAATTCATCTATCTACAAAATAAAACTGTGGGCAGATACAAGAAGATATATTTATGCTGTGCAATAGTGACTACTGCAAAACTTCACTAATTCACAGAAACTCTAAGGGGAGAGTAATCTAAGAACAGAGACACTTTCCAGCACTGAAAATAGGGAATGATTTCAATGTGATTCAAAAGAGATTTAGCAACAACAGCACAAGGATTTAAGCACCTTCTCTAATGTTGCAAGAGGGAACGAGGATTCATCTTCTTTCAGAAAAATGAGATGGGGGTTTGAGTCCCAGTAGGCTCAAGACAGGAATGAAGCAACACCTCTGACATTCTTTTAATCACTGAGTATATGGGACAAAATAGATCACCTTCATTCCAGTTATGTGTGTAGAGACTGTCAGGTAAGGAAGCTCTAAGAGCCTTTCTTCACTGAGTCTGTCAGCAGATTTGGGCAGAAAATATCCTGATGTTTGTAACTTTGAAGAGGTGAACATGAAGCTGATGTACACCATCAAGAGAAAACAGCTTGTATGACTTCTGTGTAATATTCTGGAAACTGGAGAGCTGCTGCTTCTAGAATTGAATGGCAGCTGAAAATGAATTTGTGAATCTAAATTATGGGTACAGGGGTATAAAATAACAGCAGAAAAATTCAAGATAATGTTGTGAATCTAGTTTCCAAAACACTAATTTGATGGTGAGCCCCAAATATTTTGAATTCTGTTATTTTTATACAGTTCAAGATACCAAAAACAAATGAATGCAGTCTGACCAGAAAACTTTCTATTATGTCTTGTCAGAAGAACGAACTGCATTGAACTAAATTTAGACATTTTAATTTTGAACTGAATTCTACCAATAAAGTCTGACACTAAACTTAAGTGTAAAGGGCAGTATTCATACATCACCTTGGCAGATGATATCTTTTCTTTTTGAGAACAATGTTAACCTTTTGGGGCTTTTTCCCCCTTGGCCTCTGAAGATTCTATTTATCCAATGGAAGCTACAACAGATATATCAGACAAAAATATTAAGCATGAAATTCAAAAGATATGTCTATGAAAAGAAGAAAACCACATTTAAAATACCTGTGTTCATTTATGTCTGATGTAAGAAACAAAAAAGAATGAAGTGATGATTCAGCTAAATTTAGCCAATATTTTTACACCAGCATAAATTCTAAAAAGCATTCATTGACCTAAATGCATTTGAGCATATCAGTTATTCACTGGAGATTACACTGCAGAGGTTTTTTTCTGTCTCTGAATCCTGAAGCACTGCATAAATTAAAAATAAAATAAAAAAAAAGAAGTGCTGAAGGATTTTTGAATTAAGACTCTTAAAAACAAGTTGATTGATTTGTCAGGCTTGCAAGATAAAATAAGACTGCCTTTCCATTGTAACCAAAGTTTGCTGTTATTGCCTAATTAGTGTGTAAGGAAAAGAGAGCTTCATGAGGATGTACAGCAGTTATGAGAAGACTGTTTTGATATATGGCAGTCATTTGTGCTGCTATCTTCTGCTTGACTGTCTAAATTCATGCATTATTCCACGCTTTCATGTTGAAATTATGCAGTCACACTCTTGCATTTTTATGGTATTTCATCAGACTTATGAAAAATTTTAGAAAGGGCATGAACAATTTTATTTTTTTAACTTTTTAAAGCAACTAATTTTTATTCTATCATTCTATCTTCCTTGATACAAAGGAGATATAAGTATTTTACAGACATAGATGCATTTAATGTTCATTTTAATTATAAAATAAGTTATTAATAATGATAAACAAAAGTAACATGAATTAAATTCAAAATTGAAAATGCATGGGTTTTACAATTTCTGAAGATTTTGAAGAGACCGCAAATGAAAATTGTGATTATCAAAATACCTTTCCACATTGACAAACACTTTCATATGGACAAGACTTTCAAAGTGTCTTCAACATTTTAAGACATAGAGTTCTTGGAAAATTGTGCTTGAAAAGTGGTTAAAAGAATGCTCCTCATGTGCATAACAGCTTGTTTTTATTCCTTCTAATAAAACACATATATTTTACATTTAAATGTATTTGTGTGATGACCAATGAGACCACCTGTTCTTATTAGGTTATGTTTAAAAAGCTAAACACAGTATAAATAAAGACTCAGCAAGCATCCAAGGCACAATAGAAGGCCAAGGCACACAGCAAGTAACCTGATAAGTGAATACAGAGCACACCAAATCAGATATCTTAAGATTGCCAAAGAAGAACAATTAGACTATTTTCCTTTGTCCCACCTGCCAAGACAACTCAAGGAAAGATTGAAGCTGTCTTCCTGGAATATCATACAAACCAAGGGGGATGATCTTCCAAAGGGCTACAGTACTTATTTTGAGATGCAGGGAGAAGGGGGTTTTGAGGGAGACAGAGAGAATTTGAAAATGATATAAAACTATGAGTTGTCTACAAGGGGATTGTCAGAACATGTGAAACATTTAGAGGAAGGAAGAAAAGTAGGGGAAGTGAGGGATCAAGCTGGGTCAGCAAGAAAAAAGGTGGAATAAAAAGGGAAAGTATAAGCCTGGTAAATCAGATG